GAGAGGGTTTCCGAGGGAATATAACAAGCCAGAGTGAGCCGACATTTGCCGAATTGTCCAACGGTGCAGCCAAGCATGGCCAAATATCGCTCGGCCGACATTTACAGCTCAAATTACCCATCAGTAGGTTGACGCTGGACCCCCCCCATGATACCTAAAGGAGCTCCTTTCAAGTCGCATGGCGCTCCTCCCGAGTCGCATGGCGCTTCCCTGGCTGATTCCCAATAAGGCAATACACTCTTGACGCACACTTCAATTGAAGGACATTAGTCTAATGCATTTGCCTCAATTGACCAGGACTTTAGTCTAAAGGTTAGGGTGGCGGCTCTGTCGGTGCGAATGCATCAACAAACGACCTGGTCACGTCACATCAATCACACTTCTCCTTCTGACTCCTTCGTTTGCTCGGCCTTCGGGACACCCACTGTCAGGACTCAGCCCAAAGCCAAAACACCCCACCGTCCACCGGCCCAAAGCCGATACTTTCACCGCTTATATGGACGGGTAAGCCTCCTTTGCTTGTTGCAAAAGACTCGCCAGCTCACACGATCTAGGCACTTCTTAGAGCTCAACAGCGGTCGAGCGAGCACCGTCTATTTTCACCTCAGCAGGTGCGTGGTCTTTGACGCTGATACATTGCTCCTCACCATGCTTCGTAGCCCTCTACTCCCCACCCCGAACCCACCTTATCGACCGCTCGCTTGACACACATCGGACCACTCAACCCAGACCGCAACTACCAGACACGCACCTACACAGACACGCGTTACCTACCTATACACAGACACACATTCCCTACCCCCCTCCATTGCCTACTCCCCTTATACACAGATTACCCTGCTCACAATCTCCCTTGTGCTAATACGACCTCTCCGAACTCATGGCCATTTTCGTGACTCCATATCTCCTGTTATCACGGTGTCTTAGCTACTTTACATACTACTTATCTTGTACTTTTCGAACAGCCTGTGGGCAAATGGCTCACAGGCATGAGCGTTTAACCGTTTGCCATCCCAACCCTAACCCTAAGCAAATGACTTCGGCGAAATCAAGTGAAGAGATAAAAGTCGGACCCTTTGATTTTCCTTTATGCGCTGCTTGTAGTTCGTCGATTGCAAAGAATTGTGAACTGCGTGTTCATATTGGCTGCCCGAGTACATGGGTGCAATTTCTAGGCGTAAATTCCAGCTTTGAATACAGTCTGAAGTCGAATACTGAAGGTGGCTTAATCTGTTAGGTCTGTCACAAGTCATTCTCTTTCGAACGAACTTTCATCCACATCTTCCCTCGCACCCAACTATGGGTCGTCGCCCGAAGTACCATACTTCAGAGGAAAGGTTGGCGGCTCGTCGCGCGACAGTCTTGAAGTACGAGCGCAGCTCAAGGTTTGGCAGACAATATTCGACTCGCCCCCGGATTTAACTCCGTTTCCAGCGCAAAAGCCATTCGAGCGGAGTCTAGGAAGCAACGAAACACCCGCAAAACGCGCAAGACCCGCATATCTCGCCTTGTGCTCCCTGACTTGGTCGAGGACTGGGCATGTGCCGACCTCCATCATCAGTAAAACTACAGGTCGGTCTTAGGCATCTTTGGGATCTTGGGCAAGATCCCAAAGATGCCTAAGATGCCTAAGATGCGTAAGACCATGGTCTTGGGCTAAGCAGATTCATTTGTCTTAGAGATCTTTCCCAAGACCATTTTGGTCTTGCAAAGATCATTTATGTCTTGTCCAAGATCATGAAAGCTTGCCCAAGATTTGCTCAAAGATGCTTAAAGACCAAATATAGAGAGAATAACTTGATATATATTCATATAATGCTATTTAAGACAGATAGTGTTGGTGCTACTATACAGCAACAGCTCTTCCGAGGCCACACAGTTCACATAGTCCCTGCTCGCTACCACGCCAGTCACCACCGTGACCATCCCTTCCCTCCAACGCTGCTGCTCTGCTCAGCTGGCCACTTGGACTTGTTATGAGGGTGGAGCTTGCTGCCGATGTGGGGCCCAGGCGGGACAACACAGACAGCGAGCGCGAGGGAAAGCGTGATGAGGTTGCTGCAGGGCGGCAGCAAAATGGGCTCATGGTGTCGATCCCATCGGCGGCGCTGCTAAACGAGCGGGGGGATGGCGGACGCTGGCTGTGGTGTTGCTTGCAGACGCCTAAACAGCTTGTCAGTGGGGAGGGAGTGGGCCGTGTGGGAAGGACTGACCGGTTGGGACCAATGAGACGTGCTGCCAATGTGTTAGTCAGTACGAAGAATACATGAAGAGTGCATGCGGTGCCACGCACCTGGCTCAGAAGCAGACTTGGGGGGTTGGGGCCAACGGGGAGACAAGCTGGAGACGGTCAGTACGCAGAGTGGGCGACATCGGACTTGCACATACCTACGTCAGAAACAGGCTATAGTGCTTTAGAGGCGCGCGGCACGCACGCTGAAAAGCTAGTCAGTATCTGGGGAGGGCCGTATGGGAAGTGCTGACCAGGATTGGCGTGGGTTGGCCCTTGGAATTGACGGAGATGGTCGAAAGAGAGAGATGGTGGTGGGGGAAGGGAAGGAAGAAGTGAGAAAATTGATATCACTTCTTGCGACGTGGCGCTGTCATGATGTGACAGTGACTGATGCACGTGCGTCGGCTAGGGACTTAGCGATTTCCATGGTCCAACGAGGTGCTGACCCTGTGGGCTTGAAAATCTTATCTATGAGAGTGCACAACCTGTTCACAAGTGCATAAGGGTGGTTTCAGAGGCTTTTGAACAGTTTGCAATACTAATATTTTCAAGTGAATTTTCTTGCTCCCAAGACGCCAATCTCAAGATCAAAGATGGTTTGGCCAAGACCAAAGATGGCCTTTCCCAAGACCAAGACACTCAAAGACGTAGTTTCAAGACCAAAGACCAGGTTCAAAGACCAAAGATGTCCAAGACGGACATGTAGTTTTACTGATGATAAAGAGCGCTACATTTTCTACGACATACAAGAGCCAACTTCTAACACTCGGGACTTCGACTACTGGCTTCAGTCGCCACCATTTGATTCCTCCAGCTCCCTTAATGACGAGGATATCGACCTTCTCAACTTGTGTTGTGCAGTCGATGGGCTGTTGTATCAACGGGAACTTCAATTCGAGGTTACAATGCGGGAAGATTTTGGAGCTATCAGGCGTCCTAGCGTCATGAATGCGCTCCGGACGACCGTGAAACAGCTCCTCGCTCGCGACTGGACACAGATACTCGAATTGCAGACTTACTACCCCGTTACATCCCCCGAATACTTCGTATATGAACGACATCTTATATTCTTGGCCCGTAGGATATATAGGCTATATTACTTACACTTCTTGCACTCACCGTCGTCCATCTGAAATCCAATCATCAGTGAGTGACCGTGACATGTGTGACTAGCTCTCTTGCCAGCTGTATCGCTCAAGACAGCCAATGGCCTCCAGTGGCCTTGCTGAAGGCGACCCACATGCTGTGGTGAGGGAGAACCAGAAGTTTTCATCATTGCTCTTGACGATTCAATCACAGACACAGTCGGACTCGGAATCTGGCTTCTGTAGCTCGCCGTTTTTTCCAAGCACCAACTACAAGGACCATGCTCACCACGACAAGTCAGACAAGCTTATGTACTGGATGGTACCCCAAGTCGGAGCCTTCTCGCTTTTGTATGTTATCGCAGTCTGTTTTACCCACCACATGCTAAAACACTCCTAGGAGTGCGGCGTTGGCCGTTCCAGGTGCGACACTAGATGGTATTACTGGCCACCCCACTTGGGCTGGTCTGAGGGCTCATTGGAGTCTCATGTGCGCTTTGGACCACGACGACGTCATCCCCGGAAAGCACGAAGACCTTCCATTTGCCCCCGCTAGCGCAATCACACCACACGAATCCAGCCTTTCCTCAGCATCAAGTCCATCTTCTTCTTCTACCTCGATTCGTTCGACTACTTCGAGGTCTTCTTTCACTGTCCACCATATTCCACCGGGTGCTCGCTTTCTGTTACCCGTTTCACAAATCGCCAAGTACCTCAAAAGCCTACAATCGCCAGCTTTGGAGTTAGCCCGACCTCTGACCGAGGCCTCGCCTCCATCGTCCCAATCCTCTTCCCGTGCATCATCTCGGTCTTCCCAATTCGATATCATCGACATGGCGGAATCCGTGTCATCAGCTGGTCAACGGCGGCGCTATCCACAGAGCGACAGCATTGATACACAAACACCCTTGATCACCAGCAAGCTTGAGGCGGATTCGGACGAAGAATCCACTACGGCACGACAAGGGAATAAGGGGAAGCGGCACAAGGGCAAGCAATCAACTATCTTCGCTTATAACTCGGCCACTGGATACATTTATCGGGACCAGTGAGTATATTACCTTTCCAGATATTCGGAGCGCTCGCGTTAATAATATCTTTATCCAGTGACCTCGCAGTGGACCAGTTAACCTCCGGTCGCCTGGAACTTCACAACCGGGCAAGCCTCCAGAAGCGTATGGCGGCCATAGCAGTGATGAGTGGGTAAAGAATTATGTCACAATTTTGGCGCTTCACATGTCACAGCGTGGCGCTGCAAGCGTGACAATTTGGCGCTTTCAGCGGTGAAGCGCCAATTTCTGGTGGCCCGATTGAGCCGAGGGTTAACGCCGCGGTGAATAACGGCAAGACAGCGGCCATCCCTGTCTCCGGTGACCGGTCGACGCCCTATGCGCTGAGCACGTGGATGCTGCTTCTGTCGGTCTTTCCCGAAGCGATAGCGATACTTAGCGATAACGGCTACACTACGATTACGGGCGATATCTACGCAGCTGGTATACATATAAGCATACACATCTGGTTTTGTGGGTACGGAGAGGAAAAAAACACACGTTCCGGTAAAGAAAGGGAACCAAAGCCGGAAACACGGACAATACAGCAACGAATGGGAACAGGCAAAGGGCGGAGTGGTATCGAACTAGATCGAACTGCGGGTATAACACTGGGCCAAGCAAGGCACGGCGTCAGCCCGACCGTGAGCTAGGGCGGTGATTTCCGCTGGCCGCGGACGAGGTGGGGGTCGGCGTTTGCGGGCTGTCCTCGCTCGTGTCCCGTGAGGGGAGCAGCAATGGCGGGGGGCGGCGAGAGGGGTGCCCTTCGACGTGAGGCGGGTGATGATGGCGGTCGTAATCAGGCGCATATTCGTAGGACGGCGATGGGGCGGCGTAGTCGTAGTCATGTCGTCGCTGACCGTGGCCCTGGTGGGTGTGCTGGGCAGGAAGGTTGGCATATACCCACCGTGGGTCCTCGCGGTACATTCCGTGGCCGTGGTGATGACCGTGACTGGGTACAACCGGGGCCGCCATAGGCATCGACATCGGCACGGGCAGCGACATGCGCCGCTCGTGGTAAACCATCTCTGGCGGGGGAGGAACAAGCGGCAAGTTCATCGGAATGGAGATGGGCGGCGGAAGGCCGGGGGTGGCTCCGTCGCCGCTCTGGGTGGCCGTGGGAATGGTCCATATGCGTTTCCGGTTGCGAAGAAGGTCGGTAGTGAAGTACTTCGATTGGAGGATGGTCCAGGGGCGGGGCAGAGCGCGGCGGATAGTGATTTTGGTGGTGGTATGGATCTGGCGCCGTATACGCAAATTGTCGCCGTTGCTGCTGCTCCATGTCCTCTGGCGAGTCATGCTCGCCTTCCTCGTCAATCGCCCCAACACCGCCCTCCACATCCTGCCAAAACAGGTCGTCCATCTCGGGCTCCGCGCCAGAGAGTAGCAGCTCGAAATTCTCGCCCCGGATGGGTTTCGCAATCGGCGCTATTCCACCAGCGCGCTCCCGCCATTCGTTGACCTCTCGCCGCAACGACTCACACTCCTCCGTGAGCCCCCGTAGCTGCTGACTGGCGAGTAGACGGTGGCGATTTGAGGCATTAACATGGGCAATAGAAGTATTGACGATGCTCGATTTTGAGGGGCGGCGGATCGTCGCAAGTGAAGGGAGCATCCCTGCCAAGTCCTGCATCAATCGCGCCTCAGTTTCCCTTTCCCACCCATAGCAGTCAACGCACCAGGAACCGCGCATTGAGCGCCTCCCGCCTCTGTCGCTCAACGGCATTGTGCGACGCCCGTCGTTCAGCGCTGTTCCGTGTCTTGGGTTTCGGCGAGGGCGGCGGGCCATGGAAAGTGAGGGTGGACATCGTACCGCCAACGTCCCCGGGATTGGGACTGAGTTGTGAGACGATGATATGCGCCTGCTGCTCCTCTTTGGGCCGTTTTAGCCGGGCCTCTTGCGGCTCGCGCTTGGGCTTTACAGGCGGTGTCGTCATTTTGGGTGTGTGCTGCATGGAAGGTTAGTCGTCCACGACTGCGCGGATATTCGACGCTCACTTCAGGTGGAACGCATCCAGCGGGTGCGGGGAAAGACGAAGAAGGTGGTGGTCAAAGACAGAGCTTCGCGAACCAGCGCTAAAAACGCCAGCAGCAGGGGAGGTTTAGGATCTGCGGGGCGGAGATTGCAGCCGCACGTAGATCTCCACGTTTTAGGCGGGCTGATCATGTGTCGCTCGCTTTTCTTGTTAATGTTGAGTTGCTGAGAAGCCACGCAGCTGGCTTGTGCTTGTGTCCGGGAGAAGGTGCGACTGAGTTGCCGGCCGATATCAGTCAAGGCACGAAAGCGCGGACGAGCCTGAGGAGAGAGACACTAGGCCATGCGACGTAGATTGAAGTAGAGAGCCATCATGGCTGGCCTCTTCGATAAAAATACAGCTCTCCGACCGTGAACGCGGACTTCAAGTTGTATGGCGATAACGTAGTTCGACGATTAGCTCCGGAATCCCTCGGGAAGGCTTTGGGAAAGCCAAGGATAGCGATCAAGTATCAACGCGACCACACAGTGAACATGTGGGCGGCATATGGCGCCGCGAGATTGTGAATTCACAATGAATTCAGCGCTCGGCGCGGGAGTGGGAAGCGGGAGCGGCTCTTCTCTGTGTCTCGACTGCGGGTCGTGGTTGGTCGTGCCCCGTAAATAGCTGCAAGAGGTATGCATAGCTGAAACCCCCGACGTCAGGTCAGAAAAGTGAGTTAACTACTGCTGGACACCCCCCTCCCTGTGTGACGTCACGCCACGTGATTGCACGTGATGTCCCAAAAAGGCAATTCCATGATGATGGGTGCCCGAAACTGGTGAAAATGTCATGCAGTACTACTAATTTCCTCTATATATAGTGTCCCTTCTTGTGCTCTCCACCCACATACACCCTGCGGACATCATTATAAAACCAATTTTGGCTGCAGGCATAGCTGGCAGGTGTGACTTGGGTGTGCCGTGGCCATGTCATCACCACCCAAATAGGAAATTCCTATCAAAATGCTTATACATGCCTCAGAAGAACCTTAAAATCTGCTTTCAATGACAATTATATGCATGCTGAGACCATTAATAGCATTCCTAGCCACTCTGTACCCTACAAAAGAAAAGTGAATTAAGGTCACCAGACCACCCCCCTCCCCTCCCCCCTGACGTCTCGGCTTGCGCCGGCGCGTACCCCTTGAATAGCTGGTCGAGGCAGGGCACACTCGACGGCGACCGTCGTCAGGCGGAGGAAAAGAGTCGGGTCACACGGGCTGATTGGCAGCCCGTGACGGTCACCACGCACGTGTGCGTGACAGCTTGCAAATCGTTCTGCATCATCAACCACCATTTGCCAAAAAAACCCTTTTCGGATTTGTGGCGATTTGCATTCTGCGCGGCGCGCCCGATGTTTTCGGGGCGCCGCGAGCGGCCATGCTGCAGTGCGGGGCATGTGTGCTGCATATTTCCAATGCGTGCGGCCTCCGGGCGGCGACCTGGCCCCAAGCTGGGCTTGAGCTAGGTCTTGTCCTCCTCCTGTGGACCGTGATACCCCCCAGCAGAGCATACGACGTATCGGAACAACCTTCACCGTGGCGCGGGAATCTCGCCCACAGCCCCCGCCCGCTCGCATCTTGTTTCCGGTCCTCATGGGCACAGGCTCGAGGGAGATGGGGCGGGAGTTGGTCGTTGCGCGGGTTCGGGTCGACGACGAGAAGCAAGTGCAATGTGTTCAGGCGGGAGATTGGAGGGAGACGGTGCGTGATACTCGATCATGCTGATTTCCATGCTGACTGGAGCAGTGGAGCTGTAGTCGACCATATGGGAGCTTTGCTCAGGGGCGGGGACAAATGCTAGCCATGAGCGTTCCATTTAACCTCGCCTTGGCCGGGCATGAAGGTCAAATGAAAGCTCACCTCGTCCAGTCGACCTCCGAAACGAACGCAATCGGGACGATGATTATGCCCACAACCAAGTTCGTGATCTCCGACCCCTCATGGGATCGCCACCGTCTTCAAATAGCTTCCTCGAGACTCCCGTCAACGAAAGCCTGCTGTCAAAAAACTTGAATGCAAAGAAAGTCTGGATGGTGATGCGACGGGTGCGCGACAATAGCTCGTTGTTCTATTCCTTCACTCTAATACTACTAGTAGTGCAGAGGCCGGCTTTGGATGCGGGTCAGCAATGTAGTCGGCATTCACTTTCTCCACTGCAAGTCCTTAGCGATCTCTGTCGCGGTTATGGTTGTGCCGGAGGCATCACCGAGCCTCCAAAGCGTACCCTGGCCTACCTTTGGCATGTATTTCCCGCCCATTGCCATCTTCCTCCGACCGCAACTCGGCAGCTGTCCCAGGACTCCCACCGGCAGGCATCCCGATCTACATACCGGGGACCGACTTTGGTGTCCCTGCAGGCTTACGCTTAGACGTAGTGCTGTGCCGAACGGCCGATGGACCAAATATACGCCACTCGGGCCCTGGTAATCCCGCGTCAACCTTTTCACACTTGACAGATGGCGGTGCCACTCCATCGCCCACGGCTGCGTTGCTATCGCTGCATTCGGCGTGGGTCTAATTGAAGGCCCGATGCCCGATGCCCAGTGCCGTCGGTCGCTCGCTTTTTCTTTCCGGGATTGTAAATCCTGATTATACGTCCTCACGCTCGGCGGCGGCGGGACGGCAACACGATCAAGTCCAAGAGGAATGTATGATTATGTATCAACCACTACCAGGCGTGGGCGCCGCTGTTATCTGGCTGGCGCTTCGAGCGCCAGCGGACCGGCCTAGGGCCATAGACGGCCAGAACAGGCACTACTTATTTCAACTGACGTTGGTCATCCTCAACCTTATGGCTGTCCTGGCAGATGAACGCCTAAAGTTAGGTCGTGGACAGCCGCAACTTAACAAACCTGGACGCCGTGCAATAACCTTCGCGGCACAGCCCACTCACTCATATGTCAGTCCGTCCGATCACGGGCGGAGGCTTACTGGGCCGGCGCCGCTGCGACCGCTGCTTTACGGTCGATTTACGCGCACGGGCACGAAGGGAGGCGAAGGCGACCGCCGACCGGATAACCATTAACCGGTAGCCGGATTGGGAACAAGGCGTTGGAGTAACTGCAGGCGAAGAAGGTCCGACCGGCGGAGGTGCGTTGTGGGTCCCGGAGGCATAGTGTGTGTGCCAATGCACTGGCAGCGGTTCGCTTCACGATCGACAGACGGCGTCCAAGGAGGAAGATTTGGGCCGACGCTTCTTTGCGGCTCCCGGCACAGCCAAACAATGCGGCGCGTCGGTGCGCGGCGGTGTTTTGAATTGGACGTATGTAATGGGTCGGTGATGGGCATGTGGGATGACGTAGCGTGGGATTTGTGTAGGCGTTTCTTTTTTTTCGCTGGGGACGGTCACTGCGCTTTTTGCCCTTCGGATGGGGTGCATCATGCCGGTATCACCCTGCTCTACCCCTGCCCCTGCTTGCGACGTGTCGGTCCCGAGCAGGACTCGCAGCCGATCGAGGGGTGACGTACGCGAGGCGGGCGGGTGACGTGATGTGACACCGAGGCGGGCACCGCTTCTCTGTGCACAGCCTACACCGCCTCGAGAGCTATAAGTTCTACGCAGAACGACTCACCCCCGTCATCCGACTCATCCCACATCACCTCCGCCATTCTATAAACCCCGGGCCATGTCTGCCGCGCCGTACTCCTTCGACCCGTACGCGATGCCCAGCGACGGCCGTGCATACTACGCCTACGCGGCCGCGTCCGCCCCGCCGTCGCCCGGCCAGACCCTCCTCCCGGTCCCGCCCCGCACCCGGTCCGGCCCGGACACACCCGTCGCTGACTGGGAAGCGCGCCACCGTTGCGTCGTTCGACCTCGACGGGCCGACCGCGCCGCGCACGTACGTCTCGCCGTCCCCGACCTCGCGCAAGGCAGTGCCCGCGTTCTTCGCGGCCCGCCGGCCCGCGTCGCTCCCGTCCGACGAGGAGGAGGACGAGCTCACGGAGGAGCCCCCCGCGGCGAACGCGACAGACCAGGAGAAGATCGAGTACAAGCGCCGCCAGAACACGCTCGCGGCCCGGCGCTCCCGGAAGCGCAAGGTCATGCACCAGCAGGCGCTCGAGGAGGCCGTCGAGCGGCTCACGCGCGAGAAAGAGGTTCTGGCGCACGCGCGCGCTGATGCTCTCGAACCTCCTCCGGAGCCACGGCATCACGTGTCCCGAGTTCCTCGAGTAAACGACAGCATACTCCAACCATTCATCATCTTGACCTGTTGACCGCTATTGTATACGGATAACCACCACCCCACCCGTTGTCCGCCCTGGACTCGTGTGCGGCCGTCCGACATGTACGTCCCTGTTCTCCTTCTTCTTTTCCTTCGCTCATTCCCGCCCAGACTTCGGTGTATCCGATATGTTAAAGCCGCGACGGCCGGCATGGAGGCTGCTGAAAGCAACGCAGCCCTGTACTACCTCATTGCCCACGCGACAGACTTGCCGGGCAGTAGACACCATCCACCATCCCCATACACCACTCGCATCTCACGACCCCAACGACCCCTTCGAATCCTTGTTGTCACCATCATATCCATCTGTAGCTCTCGCATGTACCGTACGCGTCTGTAAATTAATCGCATTTGCCTGTCTTGGACGTTTTCTTGCATGGCCGCGGCGAGCAGCATCGACCACTGCCCCATATTGGGAAAAGTCATCGTCAAGACGGGAAGCACCTGCTACGCCCAGCACAATACATCAACCATCTCCCCCTGTGGGCCTCAGCCGCCGTAGCGTGTGTCAGTCAGCATGTAGCTGGTCGAGATGTGGCGTTATGGCACGAGGTGCGATGGCGCTACTGACCTTCTCGCGCGGCTGACTCTTCAATACCCATTTTCTCCAGCGTTCGTCATACTAGCTAGGCTTATCACCGCTGGCTTACGAAAAGCGGTCATGTTTCTCTTGCATCTGCCTGTCTTGGACGCTTTCTTGCATAGCCGCGGCGCGCGGGATGAAGAACCGGCCTATATATAGAAACCCATCAGCAGGTAGACATTTTAACAACTTGGCAACTTGGCAATGTGATAAATAAAACTCTGGGAAAGTGGATTTGATTTGTAAGAAATTGAGACATATATGAAGTTATCAAATTGGACTTGTCGGCTGACAATTTTATAGCTATGATTTGTAGCAAATAAATGCACAAAATACTGTAGCATTTTATTCAATTCAGCACCCAAAATGTGTATGACATTGGTGTCCAGGGCCTTCTAGTGAGACTACCAAGATTTTTCAGCACAGGCTGTGCTAGCCAAAAATGGTCAATTTACTGGGTGAATGTGGCATTTGGGTTCCAAAGAAGGAAATTTTAGAGTCATGTGTGCGAGCCTATGATTCATGTAAGAATTGGTGCCAGTTATTTGGGCCTGGATCTGCCACAAATAAGTCCAGCTTCGGGCCACTTTCTTTTCACTGAAACCCTGATGTGTGAGTAAAGTACTACTCTCAGGGGAACCTCCCTTTCGGCCCTGCGGAGACGACTCCGACTCCGGTCCGATTCTGGTTTCGGTTCCGACTCTGGTCCGACCCTCCATCTTGCCTGCACAATCACCGATCCGTCAATGCCCTCCCGATGATTGCCCTGGGACCTTGCCTGCAACACTGCCCAGGCCTTCTGTGCCCAACAGCCGCAGCTACGGACAAGCAGTATATAGTCAGCTACCTAGCAGGCGGACCCTTAGAGTTTCTCGTCTTTGGATCCTCCCCTGCTAGGACCTTGATCTCAGGCCTCTGGGGTTGCCCTTACAACTACAGTATATGTATATTGAAAGTCAGAAACAGTGTAACATATTAGAAATCTGTGACAAATCACCATTATATATGATAAATCACCGGAAATGGGGTTAATGATAATGTGATACTATTTCTTTAATGTATATTTGGGCTATCAATGGCGGCACCCGGTTCGGCCTTCCGGTCCGAACCTGAACCGGACCAAACCGAACGCGCATTCAGGTTCAAAGTTCAGCGCAAGGCTGAACCTGAATCTGAAGTTCAGTTCAGTGTTCGGCCGGTGATGTAAGGGCAACCCCGGAGGCCTGAGATCAAGGTCCTAGCAGGGGAGGATCCAAAGAGAAGAAACTCTAAGGGTCCGCCTGCTAGGTAGCTGACTATATACTGCTTGTCCGTAGCTGCCGCTGTCGGGCACAGAAGGCTTGGGCGGTAATGAGCTGTCAATATGACCACCATATGAATAATAACATATGGACCCCATAAATTCATTTTCATGCACAATAGCTATGGAACATATGGAGAATCTCAGAATAAATGTTGCAGACTTTTGAATCAAATCTATATGCACCCGGCCACAAGGCCTAGGCCTGCTCTAGGCCAGGGACTGGTCTAGACTCTGAACCGAACCAAGGGTAACATGTCCATATTTGGCAAGTCTGACCCAGGACCTATATTAGAACTTTCCAGAAGCCTGAACTAGAACATTCTAGAACCGGATCAGCGGATCAGGTCACATTGTCACGGATTATGTAATTAATTTGAGAGTAGTATATAAGGAGCCCTGTAAATCCCTAGATGAACAAGAAAGACCCCCCTGGCGGACCTGCTGATTGTGACAGCTACCAGCGTCACATCAGTTAGGTTTAGAGGGGGGATTTCAAACCAATATCAACGTCAGGTTAGGTTAAGTCAAGTTAGGTTAAGTCAAGTCAAGTCAAGTCAAGTCAAGTTAAGGTTAAGGACAAGGTTAAGGTTCAAGGTTAAGGTCAAGTCAAGGTTAAGGTCAAGGTTAAGGTTAAGGTTAAGGGAGAGTTGAGCCATACTGCTCCTCTCAAATCTCAAAACTCTACAACACTGCTCTTCTGTTCATCTAAAGTGAAAACAGTCAAACACAGTTAAAACAACATTCCAAATTCAACTGATATCAATAAGAACATCTGAATCCGTTAGCCGTTTCCTGCGGCTCGAACCCCGAACACAAACCGCACAAAATTAGGATTTGATTAGTTGAGTTGAAGGTCCTGGTGATCTCCTTGATTGCTCATTTTCTACGTGTATTAGCGGCGTCACAGGCGAGGTCCCAGGGCGACCGTCGGGAGGGCGTTGACGGATTGGTGATTGTGCGGGCGAGATGGAGGGCCGGACCGGAGTCGGAACCGGAGTCGGACCAGAATCGGGCGCGTCTCCGGGCCGAAAGGGAGGTTCCCCTGACATCACCCCCCCCTTTGAATGCGGCGTCCCGACGCATAGACCGGAACGGAATCGAGTCGAAGGTCGCGGAGGCGATGTGTCGTGGCTTGCCAGGGTACTTACGATAGAACTCCGCAATTTTCTCCGGGGCGAAGACGCGGTCGAAGCGGACCCATTGGTCGTGCGATGCGTCGTAGCCTTTCCATCTGACGAAGTAGTTCAGCCGTTTATACCTCACCCTTGCGTCCAGGATTTCCTCTACTTCCCACTCCGGGACTCCGTCCTCGAGGTCCGGAGGGGGCTGGTCGTAGCCGGGGCGTCCGTCGAAGGGGTCGTCCTGGGCGAGCTCGAGCTTGACGACGGGGAAGACCGGGTGGAGCTTCGAGTAGCGCGGAGGGAGGTCGGCTTGTAGGCACCTTTGCTGATCTCCGCGACTATCTTGAATGGTCCCAGACGGCGGTGGGAGAACTTTTCCGAAGGGCGAGTCGTCCTGATGTCAGAGGCATCCAGCCAAACACGGTTGCCAACCCTAAACTCCGGAGACGGAGTGCGTCTCCGGTCGTAGTAGCGCTTGTACTCCTCTTTGGCTTTGGTGAGCGCGCGGCCTTGGCTTCGGCGACACCAGTGGCGATCCGGTCGCGGAACTCGTTCACCGACTCCATGGCGGAACGGACTCCAGGTTCGAAGCCCATGCGCGGGAGCCGTCCCGTGTCCGTCATAAAGGGGACTTGTTGCGTGGAGGAGTGAACGTGGTTGTTGTAGGCAAACTCCGCGGCCGGAATCAGCTCATCCCAGTCGTCCTGCTGGTAGTTGGTGAAGATCCGCAAGTACTGCTCCAGCTCCTGGTTGACGCGCTCTGTCTGACCGTCTGTCTGCGGGTGGTACGCGGTGGACGTGGCGGGCTTGATGCCGATTAGACGCCAAAGTTCTCGGGTGAAGTCCGCGATGAACTGCGAGCCGCGGTCGGAGACGTACTTCTCCGGAGTCCCATGGTGCCGCCAGACATTCCGGTAGTAGAGGCGGGCTGCCCCTACTGCATCGACCGTCGTATGACACTTTGAGAAGTGGGTGCGCTTTCCGAGGGTGTCAACGACGACCATGATCGCGTCGTACCCATGGGCTTCAGGAAGCTCTACGATGAAGTCGACGGAGACGGTATGCCAGCGTTCCGGGGGCGTTTCCGTGGGGTGCAGTTCTCCGTGGGGCAGTCTCCGGAGTGCCTTGGTGCGACAGCACAAGTCACAGGTCGCAACATACCGGCCGATATGGCGAGACATCTGAGGCCACCAGTAGTTCCGGGAGACCAACTCCAAGGTCTTGAAGCGACCCGCGTGTCCGGCAACTCGAGTGTCGTGGCAGAGCTCGATGATGCGTCTCCGGAGGTCCTTATCCTTAGGTACGACAATCTTCCCACGAAAGTGAAGAAGACCACCGGTGAAGAAGGACAACTAAGTCCAAGCGAGGACTAGATGTGGGCCGAGGTCGTACCGAGGGCGGCGCTGCGGGAGGAGTAGATGTGCGGGGTAGATTAGATAAGATTTACTTAGCTTTTGCAGTAATCGTAGAACTCGGGCTCGATGTAGCGCTTTCGCTCGCGCTCACTCTGACTTTGAGATGGGGGCAAGAAGTAAGGGATGAGATACTCTCCTATTCGACACATGAAACCGTATCTACGCGATCGAAAGGGGTGATGAAATACTTTGTAAGTACAGAGACCATGAATCCTAAGCTTGGTTAACAACCACACACACAGCCAGGTTGAGGACAATTCGGATAGGGTGGCGACGCTGCCGCCTCCAGCGCTAACTTCGGGATGACCAAGCCCGTGTTGATGCGCACCCCAGTCCCGCCGAGCTGCCGTGTGGTCGCAACTTCCGCTTTCGGATATAATGAGATAAGGAGGAGGGAGGGAAGAGAGAAATGGACAGATAGAGGAGTAGAGTAGAGGAATGTGGCTGTTAACGCCCGAAGATGGTCGTCGCGTGGAAGTGGCGTGACCGTGATAGCGACGTGGAAGCCAGATGGCACTTCCACAGAGGGGGATACTTTCGATTTCGCCCCCGGAATCGCGCAAATTAGTG